AAGTAACCATACGTTTATAGCGAACATTTCACTGGCAGAGTTTTCCTGCGTTTGTTATATCACATTAGGCTATATACAAGGCTATAAACAGCTTGAAAATTCGAAAAGTTTTGTTTGTCTTGTTTCAGGTGAAGCCGTTTTCATTTAAAAAAGATAAAAGTCATGTTTTCCGAACGAAGTCAACTTTATGTATAGCGGCGCCGTCGCCCAGTGTTTGTTTTGTTTTGAAGCAATTTGCGACCGTTACTTCTTTAAACTCAACAGCTTTAAACTGATTGCTTGATTTTATCATCACATTGTTTTTCCATGCATCAATCAGATCAGTTTGTTACAGATTTTTGCACTGTGACTACAGAAAGTTGGACTGTGATTACAGAAAATTGCACTGTTGTTTGGGATTAACTGCACTGAAATAAAACCAATCACAGTCGTGTAATATTATAATAATAAACCTTCCTGTGGGGGGGGGGGTGTTATTTACTAGATAGGGGGCGCTTATTAGAAACTGGACGTTTACTAGACCACTTGTCGTACTAAAGGGATGACCACTAGCTTCCATTTCCTAGACCGAAGTACAACCTCCTTCTCAGGCTTTTTTCCCACTTGGAGAGGAAATCATTAGTTGGAGCTGCATGGTTAAGTGGCCCATAAAAAAATATTGTCTAAGGGTTAATGAGAAAGTCTCGTATTACAAGCTTTCAATTCTACATTTCGATTTCGAAAGAGTGGAGTGTTCTGTCTATTCTGTAGAATTGACATGGAGAATCATATATACTTTAAAATACTTGCTAAATTTGGTTTCTTTTTGCTTAAAAGCATAGAAACATACAAAATCAATTTTTATAGCAACAGACAAATAAAAAAATCAAGCATTAAAACGTATGATTACATGTTTGAAATTGTTTTTAATTAATTATGTTCTCTTGCGCCAGCTCTGCCTCTGGGTCAGATATTTATAATCAGATTCTTTTAATATGACATTCATTAAATCGTTGTTATTTGGAAACGGTACAAACTTTAATTGCATTGGTTTAACTGTTAATTTCAAGGGAGGTCTTAACAGGGACTGTATATAGGTCGTAGCGCCTTGGAGGTATTTCTTCTTTTAAGGTTATTATCGCTTATAATGAGCAGTAGGACGGAATATATAACCTATATGTAAATATTGCATGCTAGGGAATCTACAGTTCAGAATTATAAGACAACCGTATGCTATAGCTACAATTTTTGTCTGCACGATTACGTTGTTGAAAGCAAAATATTGCACAGCATCCTCTTCTATATCCATTTATCGACGCCTTTTATACATTTCTATTTATACGAATTATATGAATTTAGTCTGGTTAAGAATATTTACTCGAAAATGCTCCAATGCTCAACCGAAACCCATCTTGTTCGTTTGCAATCTGGAAAGAACTGTATTCAGCAAATTTCTTACTTCCTTCAAAATCTTCAAGGTCGATTCGAAGTTTGTATTTTCCACTGGTGGTAATGCGATGAAGCTTTTCCAATCCAAGCCAGAACTCGCCAGACAAATTACCAAATCCTTCCTTGTATTCCATCCATCCAAGGTAAAAGTCGACGGATCCGTCATAACGATGTTGAAACACGGTCCATCCTCCACCATTCATGTCACACATCACACTGAGATTTCCGTGATCATCAGGATTGATTTTATAGATGTTGTTAGTTTTGTTTCCTGACTTATAATGATCGAAACAACTCTTTGCTGAAAATTTAGCAAGTATATTGGATAAGGAATAAAAGTTAATATGTTAAAGTATTGAGTTGCAAACCATGCATTTAAATCTGGGCTCTAGCTCATACCCTGTGTCATGGCTACGGCCGCCCCTGAACTATGCGTGTCTTGCGCCTACTCCCCGCATATTTTTATTTTCGTTGGACCAGGCGTGTTTGTTTTCGCTTTTTTACAGATCGAGAAATACAGTGCAAGCTGATTAATGGGGGTTGGGTTTCTTGTGCCCTCCTTCGAATCTAAATATGTATTTAGTATATTTTGAAAACTAGCATAACTAAAAAAAGTTTAAAAACGTTTGTTGATTCTTTGTTTAATAAACCAAAAAGCTATTTTCTTTAGTTTAATTTCAATACCATATATTATAACTTGGTTTTTATCTGTACAATTTGAAGGGCACTTTTTCAACCTAGTATAACTATTAACGTGCAAATCACGTTCAATCATGCATGTGCGAATCATGTTAAACTGCAGTTTGATAGTTCAATTTATAACTTGCTTTCAATTGTATAGGAAAATTAAAGCTGATGCAAGAGAACTTTGCCCTTATGTACCCAAATATACCGGCCAGTGACGCGCAAATTATTCCGACCGTAGGTTTACTTCAAATATGATAAACACTGACATTGCATATTGTCAAAGCTAGTCGCCATCAAAAGCATATTTACGCAACCTCATTTTAGCCGTCTAACAATTTCGCATTCTCGTGCACATGTACAAATTAATATCGAGGCCATGCATGAACGCAAACGTAAACCTCAATTATTAAGTCATCACAGATACTGTCCTAATACGGGTATGCCCTATACAGGCGCGGATCCAGTGGTTTTGTTGACTGATGCACTAAACCTCGCATTTGTAGGGGGGTCCGGGGAAATCCTCCCCCGGGAAATTTTGAAATCTAGGACCTCGGAAATGCGATTTCCTGCGTTCTGAGGGAGCTTTTCTTCGACGTTCACACATCAAAATCGAAACGTAATTTGCTGGATTTTCGGGAAAAAACCCGTAAAAAATCGGCCTTATAGAGTGAGAACAACATAATCATGTGAGTTTTAAAATAAATTGAAAACATTTTTACGCGGAGTTTTATCAGATCGAAACTTGACTAGCCTTATTTATTTGATCCTATTTGAATGAGGATTATAGAGTAGCAAAGTTGTAGCTATAATTTACAATTTTACATACAAGTGTACACTACTTAGATGTACACAGCATACTGATAGAATAATTGAAAGCAAAACCACAGACATTTTTTTATGTAAAATATGGTGCAAATGACATGAAAAGCTGATCAGGGTTGTGTTTCTTATGCAAAATAGATAAGAATACTTCAAGCAAACTATTATATTCATTGCCAATGATATCACTTCCTGTAACTTATCACTTCCTGTTACCAGTTAACACCAATCAATATAACAATGTTCCAGGTCAAATACCTTCCAGCAGCACCACCATGACATAAATTTCAGTTAAATTATTTTAATAATCCAGGATTAATTCCAGGGCAACTTTGAGGTACTGTATATGAAGGCCCTCTCTGGAGCTAGTCACTCTAATATTTATGGATGCATTTATATCCAACATTTTGACAAATGCAGTTTGAATTTTTAAATACTGTAAGATTATCAAAGTATTCAAGGTTTCAAGATATTAAGGATAGACAGGGAGAAGTGCATGTTATGGACTTGGTAGGTATCTGATTGCATGAGCAGGATTGACAAGGTTCAGTAACAGTGGCAGTGCAGTATATTGTGATCAACTCAATTAGTACATTGACTTATCAATGAAAGTGAGATATTTATCAATTTATACATTAATGTATTCTATGCAATGACCCTTTGTTGTATTGAAAATAAATGATAGAATGATCAGAACAGTAATTTGGTCCAATAACTGCTAATTAGACTGGTACATTTAAAATGAACACCTTGTGCTGAGCCATGGTCATGAGAATGGTATAATTTAAAGGCATATGAACAATGCCAGGAAAAGCATCACAAATTTAAGGGGCCGAACTTGAGAAAGCCCAGCTAAATTTATTCCCTTCCTGAACATGTGAATCCCCTTTATTTTCAGCATCACAATAATTTGCCGGTCACCCCCTGTGCCTCTCCCCTCACCTTGGCAGGGGCAACCCTGATACATGTAATGCCATTTAGTGTGATTGATGGCTTCTGGTACTAGGTGATCATTCTGGAACAATAGAGATAATATATAACTGAACTAATCTCACTATCAAAAAAAACATTGCCCTTTCAAGAGCTTCCCATTTCCAAAATGATGCACATACAGGGATAGATTTGGATATGGGAGGGATCTAATTAGGTGCCGGTATTGATGTCGGGTGTGAGCATCTACCAAGGCATGGTGTGTAATCATACAGATAGCAGTGTTCCGGGGAAACAGCACCTAACAGGTAACCGGCCAAGTCACCGGCAGGTGCCAGGAATATAGCTGCTAGTAAGGGTTGCAGGACCCTAGACAGACTCCCTTAGACTGTAAGAATCTCAGGGAGAACTGCAAAATATTATGAAGCATCTAGATTCAATTTGCATTTTCAAACAAATTAAGACACAACCTCCACCCCCCACCCCCCCCTACACACACTATATAATGGCTGAATGGCATATTGAGTGTTTATATGTGAACAGCCAAAACAGAATCATCCATGTTGACATATTTAAAACAGTTCAAATATAGTAAATTTTGTAAAATTGTGATATTTATACTACGACAAATATACCTATACCTACAGTATTTATCATAAATATCAACACACAGTCACACACAGATTCACTCGTTTAAATCTACATCTATAAACACAGTACACAGATCCCAAACATTCCCTTGTTAAATTACTGAAATAGCTGACAAACCTTTTAATTTCGACAGTTTGAGGCTCAGTGAGTTTGAGTGAACCACCAAAGATCGTAAAATATTTCCATACAATGCGACATACAATGTTCCATTAATACTCCCGCCATTATAATAATAATAATAATAATAATTTATTCATTTAAATAAAGCGCATAGGTTATATTATATACTCGAAGCGCTGTACATTATATAAAAATCTAAATATATTAAGAATTAAATATGCTATATAAAACATGGTATTGTATACAATTAGAATATACATTAATGTATGTATCTATAATAAGAATGATAGAATCCAATATGGTCTCAACCTATAAAGGGTTATAAGCCTTATTGAAAAGAAATGTTTTCAAGCGTTTCTTAAACACAGAAATGTTTTCACAGTTCCTGACATCCAAAGGCAGAGAATTCCATAATTGTGGAGCAGCATGTGCGAAAGCCCGATCTCCGAGAGTCTTACAGTTTGTTTTGGGGATGTATAGTAGACCTTGACCATCCGATCGTAATGTCCATCGATCACTTGATTGTTTTGGAATAAGCATTTCAGAGATATAGATAGGGGCAATGTTATTAAGAGCCTTGTAAACCAGTAAGGCAATTTTGAATTCCACCCGGAATTTTACCGGTAGCCAGTGAAGTGATCTCAAAACTGGGGTGATGTGAGAAAATCTTGGACAGTGGTAGATTAGTCTAGCAGCGGCATTAAGAACTCTCTGCATTCGCTGGACTTGATACTGAGGTATGCCAGCCAACAGAGCATTACAATAGTCCACGTGTGATGTCACGAAAGCATGTATCAAAGTTTTCGTTGTATTAGTAGATAAAAATTTTCTAATTTGTCGTATTTTATAAAGTCCTCTGAATGCTTTACTGCACATCTTGCCTACATGAACTGACATTGACATATGCTTGTCAAACCAAGATCCCAAGTTTCGAACACTGTCAACCGGCTTAATTTGGACCCCACCAACGTTAACGGATTCAATGTTTATTTTCAAAAGTTGTTGTGGTGTACCAATTACAAGAAATTCCGTTTTCGAATCTTTGAACATTAATTTATGAGACAACAGCCAAGTACGAACATCAGAAATACAATCTTCCAGTGCGGCTAGGGTACTTTCTGAATTATCTTCACAATCTGGGCGAAAGGATACATAAAGTTGCGTGTCATCAGCATATCCATGAGAAGAGGGTAAGTGCCTGTCAATAATGTCATATAGTTGGGATACATAAAGCAGAAAAAGTATGGGGCCAAGACAACTCCCTTGAGGCACTCCGTACTTAACATCGCAGTCTTCAGAAAAATTGTTATCCAGATCAACTCTCTGTTTCCTGTTCAATAGATATGATTTTATCCATTCAAGAGCCCTATCCGTCACTCCAAATTGATACTCCAATACGTCAATGATAGTTTTATGATCAATTGTATCGAACGCTGAGCTTAAGTCCAAGAGTACAAGAAAACACACTTCCTGCCTGTCCATACTCAGAAGAATATCGCTTTGCACCTTTAGCAGAGCCGTCTCTGTCGAATGATATTTCCTGAAGCCAGATTGACAGGTAGGGAGAGGTGCATGTTTTTCACAATGGTTCAGCAATTGGTTGGCGGCTGCCTTTTCAGTGATCTTAGAAAGAAATGACAGATTGCTCACAGGCCTAAAGTTCTCAAATACTGGGTCCAAGCTAGACTTTTTCAGATTTGGTTTCAGCAAAGCAATTTTCCAGTGATCTGGGACACGACCCTCCTGCAAGGATAAATTTACAATTTTGGTGATAGAGGGAATTAGTTCCAGACAACAGACTTTAACAAGCCATGGTGGGATCGGATCAAGCTTGCAGCTGGCACTGGACAATTGCATAATAACATCATGAATATCCTGGGAAGAAAGTATCTCAAAAGATTTTAATTTGACTTCAGGATTGCGGTAATGCACCAACGGAGGATCGACATGGATACTGTCCACATTTTCTCTAATCAATTCAATTTTGCGGAAAAAATATTCGTTGAACCTATTTGCTAATTGACCAAGATCGTCATGAGGTGGTAAGGGATCTTCATGCGGTGCATTACAAAGGGAGCTCACAATTCTGAAAAGATTCTTTGGATCGTTGGAGCTATCACTGATAAGGGAAGTATAATAATCAGTTCGGGCTTTATTCAACAAGTAACAATATCGGTTACATATTTTCCGATAGGCAGTCCAATCTACTTCTAATTTTGTTTTCCGCATCTTTCTCTCTAGTCTCCTACGCTTTACTTTCAATTGTCTTAGTTCGTCATTGTACCAAGGAGTTGAACGCTTAACTTTCATTAGCTTTCTTCGGACAGGAGCATGGGTATTTAAAATACGTGAAAGTACGTCATCATAGCAATGCACTAATTCATCAAGATGTGCAATGTTTTCGCAATGTGAATTCACATTGCTTAGATCAAGTTTAAAGTCAACAATGTTAATCTTTTTCAGTTCACGATAAGAAATTAGCTTTTTGGAGTCATTCGGACGAGGAATAGATAATTTACATTCTACAAAACAATGGTCGGACAGAAAGAAAGTACTCTCAATCGAAAGGATATTAATGTCACTTGTAGATCGACTTATCAATAGATCCAGTGTATGATTGGACGAATGTGTTGGAGTACAAACATGTTGTTTGAGGCCAAATGTTTCAAGCATCTCATTAAATTTTATCGTGTTTCTGTTAACCGTATCATCCAAGTGAAAATTAAAGTCCCCGGTAATCAATAGAATTTCTGGATATAGAACAATATACTCCAAATAGTTTGAGAATTCTTCAAAGAATTTTCCAGGTAGAACAGGGTGAGCAACGGAATAAGGTGGACGATAGATAGCAATAAATTTAATAGAATGTTCAAGTATGGAAAAATTCCACTCTGAATATGCAAAGGATTGCGTTTCTCCACCACGAGAAAGAGAGACATATAAATTGGTGTTAAACATTACGCCTGTGCTTCCTCCTGATCTGTTAGATTGACGGGGAAATGATTTCAATGAATATCCAGGGAGACAAACGCCTGCAATGCTTGTTGTGTCCATGTCCTTCAACCAAGTCTCAGTTACAACACAAACATCAATATTTTGATCAACAATATAGTCGGAGAATACAGCTACCTTATTTCTTAGTGATCTAGCGTTAATCGTTGCAAAACGTAACATATCTGGTTTTGGATTTGAGACAAAATTTACACATACTAAGTTGTTGACATTAACTTTCCTTGCATGAGTTCTCGGCCTTGTCTTGGCACATAAATTATTTCGACGAACTGTAATTCTAGTAGGAATTTTGCAAACAAGTTCAATAGTCGGAACAGAATTCAAATTATTTTTATTACTTCGCCGCGATATTATATTAATATTCTTTGGATAGTTAATATCAGCAGTATTGGAACTAATTACGCGTTCATTAATTGACGAACAAGGACTAGGTGATTTAGCCATTCTGGGGATCGCTGATGGGATCGAACAATCGAGGGGGGTGGCTTCCGTCCCGGATTTTCCTGAAAAGGACGTATGAAATCAACAGGAGCTTGATGACTGTATTCTAGAGATTCGTTGAGACTGATTAGGGGTAAAAATTCTATGTCTTTAAGAACATTAAAAGTTGATGAACTGGCGTTCCTCAAACTGCAGTGGTGACCATCGATAATGGGATAAGTGTCAACCTTGTTGTCGACTTCATTCATAGTAGCTGACACTCCAGGGACTTGAGGTAGGGATTTGAGTTCGGTGATATTTGGCAATTTCCTTGCATTCGAATTACCTTTCATGTGCTGACCGTCGTGAGATTTGACGCCATTGATCAGGTTATTATTATGGCTTTGTAGTAGGTCGGCTGGGCTGTTATCACTATTTAAAATTAACTGATTATCCTTAACTGATAAGTCTTCCTCGACGCGTCTATTGTTGGAAACGACTAGATTGGAAGTCACGTGCGACTTCTGTGCAAGGTCGGTCGGGGAGTTTTCCTCACCCAAAACTCGATTAAGGACAAGATTGCTTTGTTCTACATGATTGACCGCGCATTGTTGATCGTTCTTTGTGACAGTGTTGCTAGGGAAAATTTCATTCTGCTTTGAATTGGAGATTTTGGTCTTAATTAGATCTGTCAAGGAGACATTAGTCGCCTCAGTGGCTTTAAGTTTAAATTCAAGAGAGGCAATAATATCGTTCAATTCATTAACTTCACAAGATCTTCCTTTGATTAGAATCGACAGATCAGCTTCCAAGCGCTTGCATTTCTCCCTCTCACTAGAAAGGTCCTTTTCGAGCCGGCTTACTTCATCTTGGTACCGTTTAGTTTCGCTTGGATTAACTTTATCGATCACATTTGAATATTCAAATGTTGTCGACTGTTGAAACCTGTCTCTCTGAATTAATACTTCGGTTATTTTCTTGTATTCATTGAACTGTAGACGAAGATCTTCGTAACCACTTTTTATCTCGTGTAGATTGCTCTCAACTTTGCTTATAGCACTCTTGTTTACTTCTATTTCCCGCTCTGCTATCGTTACATCGAGTTTAATGCCTTCAACCTCGGTTGATAGCTCGCTTAGCGGCGCTCGGATAGGAGAGGCGGACCGGCATTCAACATTCACAGTCTTAGTTTCTTCGCACATATTCCCTTTGTTGAAGTCGTTCGCACAGATCATCCTGCAGAGTTTACTCTTAAATTTATCCCGATCATCGCCGTCGATCAGTGAGGCTTTCTTATTTTTCCGCCACGAAATAGATATGTAGCCATCATTAAATAATTTCTTATCGCCTCCTGGACTAACCCATTCGCCGTTTAGATTAAGTTTTTTACTGACAAACTGTTTCAGTGAGTCGAAATCTCCCATCCAAGCCAGTTGCAATTCCTCAGCCATTATCAAAACGAATTCCTCGTCTTATTCACAAGATATAAAGCCAAATCAATCAATAGAATAAAAATAAAGCGGAGCTCCTAAAAGCACGTCATACTGGTGAGGCAGATAGGACGCAAACCCGTGTAAGTACCATTGTGGTTCAAGTCCTACCGTAGTCATTTTGTGATTCGAAAATGGTAGAATTTTAATTAATACACAAGCTAGACAATAAGTAACGTGAATAAGTTGCGGTGGGCGTCCAACAACGAGTAAGTGGTCTAATGGTAAAGACTACCTGTTATGTAATGTAGCATTGTGGTTCAAGTCCGCCCATGTCATTTTGTCACTTGAAATGTATACAAGCGAGAGAAAAAAGGTTAAGGTGAACAAGTTGCGGTAGGCTTCCAACAACGAGCAAGTGGTTAAGTGGTAAAGACTATATGTTGTCTAATGTACCATTGTGGTTTAAGTTCTACAGAAGTCATTTTGTGTCTTGAAATGTGTGGAACATTAATTACACAAGCAACAGAAAAAAGGTTTCGGTGAATAAGTTGAGGTAGGCATCCAACAACGAGCAAGTGGTTTAGTGGTAAAGACTGCATGTCGTGTAATGTAGTCATTTTGTGACTTCAAATAAACGGAATAATTAGATGTTGCTGTCTAGTGTATATAAGATATCTATGGTTATATCATGGTCGCTTTCGGTGACGTTAGCTATTAACCTTTTGTCTATTATTTATGTTAATTTTTGGGAATATTAAATTGCTCCAGGAATCTAACCTGGATACCATTACTGGCTCCAAACAGGACAATTTTTGAAATTTTATCAACATCATGCATTAATATTGAAAATGTATCTGGGGCCGCTTGTTCAAAAGCCGGTTAGCTTAACTCTGTAGCCGGTTTTTCTAAGCTGTGCTAGCTTAACCCTAGGTTAACTTAAAATTCAAAGTAAACTTCCTGACATGTACAGCTTGTCTATAAATTTGGAAATATTTCTTCAGAGATCTTGTCTGGATCGACAGGAGTTTACTTCTCTAAATTATTAATTAGGGTGTGTACGTTTTCATTCAACATGTCTTTGTCTTATAAGTCTCAAACGATTGATTGCAAACCAACAATAGTTAATTTTTTACACTATAATAATGTAGATCATCTTCATATAAAAAAAAAACACAATACAGGGTGTTCCAAAAAAAACACGCCAAACTATTGAAATAACGTATTGTTAGAATTTGAATGCCTTAGCACTAAGCTGAACAAGATGCGTAAAATATTGACAGGGTGCATATATTATAAATATTGATTTAACAAATTAAAATACTTTGTAAAGCGCACGATTTTGAATCGATGCGCTTGGGAATTTAAAGCAGCTTCTTAAACAGTTTCTTTATGCATGTTAAAGTTTTACGAGTGTTAAAGCATTCAAATTCTAACAATACGTTATTTTAATAGTTTGGAGGGGTTTTTTGGTGCACCCTGTAGATGCGTTTTATATTTATTTATTTATTTATTTAGAAGAAATATTATATATTATAATATAAATGCCTTTATAACAGCTTCTTTTATAACTATAGTCAATTAGATATAATAAGTTTTTCAAAGTTTGTGCACGTCTTCTTCCGTGTCGTAACTCGTTTCTTCGGTCTTCAACAGGACACGCGAGACTTCTAGCCCTGAATTCTGCATTCGATAAAAATCTAACCAGTAAAGTAATTGAAATATTAGTGTAAAAAGTTGAATGATCAGTGGGGGAACCCATTCTTGATACTAACTTATCAATTAGAGAAGGAAACACTGGACCAAATATTTTGGGGCATTTAGCTATTACAAGTCCACCTACCATGTTGCATACTTCTGGTTCAGTTTTGTACAGGAAATTATAAATTGAAAGGTCTTTTAGAGCCGGAATTTTCTTGAACTTTTGAATTCTGCATTCGATGAGAATCTATAGAAGAAAAGTTGAAAAGTATTGTGGTAGGAGTTTAAATATTCCGTGCGGGGACCCCACCCTTAATCTTTAATTTGATAAGGAGACACTTGAGCAAAGATTTTGAAATTTTACTTATTTCAAGCCCATCTTCAATATCGCAAATGTCTGGTTTTCTTCAGGGTCTTGTACAGCAGGACATTTTTGAACTTCTGAATTCTGCATTCAATGAAAATCTAAAAAAGACAACTTGAAAAGTGTTTGGTACATGTACGAATGGTATAATTGTGCGAACCATGGCCTTAATAATCCTTAATGAAAACACCAGACCAAGGTTTTGGAGCATTTATTGACGTTCAACAAAATTAGCTATTACAAGTTTTACAAAATTGAAGCATTTTCCATATTGTAAAACATCACACGTTTAAAAACTTCTAAAATATGAAGTGAATAAACGTTTTTCAACTTCATCTCCACTTAAATTGTTCTTCAACTTCTGCATTCGGTACGAATCTAAATAAAAAACTAGGAAAAGTGTTGTGTTGGAATTAAAATATTCGGGGACCCCACCCTTAATACTATAATTAGAGAAGAAAACTATAGACCAAAGTGTTCGAGCTTTTATTGATTTTCAACAACATATTTAGCTGTTACAAGATTAAAAATTTTTTCGACATGTATCGTAATATAAGCCTGTGGTTTTCTCAAGCCTTGAACAGGACATCATAAAATGAATAAAGCTATATCTTTCAATTCGATATCCGTGAAGATGGTTTCTTCTGCATTCGATACGAATCTAAATAAACGAGGAAAAGTGTTAGTGTTGGAACTAAAATATTAGGGGACCCCACCCTTAATACTATAATTAGAGAAGAAAACTATAGGCCAAAGCGTTCGAGCTTTTATTGATTTTCAACAACATATTTAGCTAATACAAGTTTAAAAAAGTTTTCGACATATATCGTAATATAAGCCTGTGGTTTTCTCGAGTCTTGAACAGGACATCATGAAATGAATAAAGCTATATCTTTCAATTCGATATCCGTGAAGATGGTTTTGAACTTCTCAATTCTGCATCTTATAAGGACTAGAAAAAGTGTTTAGTATAAGAATTTAAATAGTTGTGGAACCCCGCCCGAACACTAATCTTATCATTTAGAGAAGAAAACACGAGGCCACAATTTTTGAGCTTTTATTGATTTTCAACAAAAAATTAGCTATTACAGGTTTTACAAATTCGAAGCATTTTCCATATCGTAAACCTCGGGTTTCGCTGGACTTGAACAGAATATAATGAAATGAATAAACTTTATTCAACTTGAAATCCATGAACATTTCCCTTGAACTTCTGAATTCTGCATTCGATAAAACCTAGAAAACAAACTAGAAAAAGTGTTCAGCGTAGGAATTTGAACAGTTGAGGGACTCCCACCCTAAGCTGAATAATAATCCTATCAATTAGAGAAGAAAAAAGAGAGACAAACGTTTTAACTTTTATTGATTTTTCCAACAAATAATTTTATTATTGTTACTATTGTGACGATTTCTGTCGCCGACGTGGGCGCTGCAGTTCACAATAACACAAGTCAATAAAACCCACTGTACTACAATTAACATAAAGGTTTTAATTCTGTAATTACTAAGAGTTATCTAATTTCCTAAAGTATTTTTTTTTTAACAAACCCGAGTCCAACAGAGTGTAGCTACGTCTTCTTTCTTCAGCTAGCCCACAGCGCTTAACTTTCAGCGTAGTATCAAACATATAACAGCGTCGTATCTTGTTTGTTGAGAATTTCAACGGATATGTCTTATGAACAAAAGCGTGACGAAACTTGCTAACAATCTGAATATTCTTAAATCGCTTCGAGATGGTTTTCTGTCGATCTCAAATGAACTTGACCGTATATAGTCAGCGAACTTCAGTATACTTCTAACAAAAGCAAGATGTCCTTCCAAGTTGTTCTTCTCCTGAAGGTCTTCGTCGCGTTTTTTTAATGTTTAGGAACTCCTTCCTTGCTTGTCCTGTTTTTCCTCTGCTCGCTTCAAACTCTGGGCTCCTTATATAATCCATTAATTTACATATTCATAAAATATAATTATAATTATAATACAGCTATTCTTTTATCACACCTTCCCGCCAAGCTATTACAAGTTTTAGAAAATTGAAGCATCTTTCATATCATGAACCTCCGGTTTCGTTGAATCTTGAATAGAACATTCATTTCTTGCAATTCTGAATTCTGCATTGGGTGAAAATCTAGGACAACTTGGAAAACATGTTAGTGTGCTAATTGGAATAGTTGGGCGACCCAACCCTTAATATTAATTCTGTCAATTAGAGAAGAAAACAAGGAAACAAATGTTTGACCTTTTTATTGATTTTCAACAAAAAAATTAGCTATTACAAGTTTTACAAAATTGAAAAATCTCCCATATCATGAACTTCTGGTTTCGTTGAATCTCGAACAGAACATTCATGAAGTGAATAAACCAATTTAATCAACTTGATACCCATGAACATTTTCTTGAACTTCTGAATTTTGCATTGGGTGAAATCTAGAACTTTGAATAAATGTTAGTGTACGAATTCAAATAGTTGGGCGACCCCACCTTAATACTAATCCTATCAATTAGAGAAGAAAACCATATACAAACGTTTGAGTTTTTTGATTTTCAACACAAAATTTAGCTATTACAGGTTTTACAAAATTGAAGCATCTTCCATATGATGAACTTCGGGTTTCGTTGAATTTTGAACAGAACATCGTATGAAGTGAATAAACAGTCTTTTAACTTGATGTCCGCTTACATTTCTTGAACTCTGCATTCGACGAAAGTCTAAAATAGACTTGAAAAAGTGTTTTGCGTAGGAGTTTAAACAATTCTGGGAACCCACCCACAATACTAATCCTATCAATATATTAGAGAGAAAAACACGTGGCCACAACGATTTTGAGCTTTTATTGGCGTTCAAAAAACATTTATTACAAGTTTGACAAAATTCAAGTGATCTTCGATATCGTAAAATTCTCGTTTGTTCAGTCTTAAGCAGGACATCATAAACTGAAACGTCTTTCGAGTAAATATTCATAAACATTTTTACAATTTTATTCAACCATTAGCTACATGTATTTACAAGTTTTACACAATGCATACAAGGTGATCTTCCACATGTGATTTTATTCAACCTTGCATGAATGAAATATCTTTCAACTTGAATTCGGAATTTTGTGTTCGATGTATGTCTATAACGAAACTTGAGAAATGTTTAGATGAATTTAAATTGTTGGGGGGAGGGGGAGGGGACTATCCTATCTATTAGAGAAGAGACACTATAAACCAAAATTCGGAGCTTTTATTGATTTTAACAAAAAATTAGCTATTACAAATTGTAGAAAAATTTAGGTATCTTCCATCTCGTAAACTTCCAGTTATATTAATATTGAATAGATATCATGTATTCAAATGCCTTTCAACTTGATATTTGGAAGAGTCGAGATTTTCTTTAACTTCGGAATTCTGTATTCGATATATGTCTGTAAGAAAACTTGAGAATGGTTTAGTTCACGAATTTAAACGGGGAGGGAGGAGCACTATCTTTCAATTAAAGAAGAAACACTATAGACCAAAATTTCTGAGCTTTTATTGATTTCAACAAATATTTAGCTATTACAAATTTTTAAAAAAATTAGATCGTTTTCCATTAAATAGAATATCATGTATTCAAATGTCTTTCATCTTGATGTTCGAGAGAATGGACATTCTTGAACTTCTTATTTTTCCATTCCATGAATATAAGGATATTTCTGAGAGTATTTAGTTTACGAGGTTAGTTTTAGCTCCCCCTCCCGCCAAGGGACTCAATACCTCATGAAGAAAGAGACATGTGCACAACAGTTTTTGTTCTTTTATTGTGATCACAAATCATTTACCTATTTACAAGTTGTACTACAATATATATACGCTATAGTTTTAACACTACAGGTTTTATTATTTTACATATAGATCAGTGTTATGTGTAAAATGTGTTATACAGTATGTGCACGTAATGTGTATTCTGAATTTTTTTTTATAGAAATCACGTTTGACAAATATGATGTCAAATTGTTATAAGATATAGTTTATATTTTTTGCTGGAACTAATTAATTTATTACATTCCTAGAATTTTTTAAAGAAATCATGTTTGACAAGTATGATGCCAAACACAAAACTGCAGTTTATACTGCTTTTTTTGTAGCTGTCAATTCTACCTTAAAGAAACTCAAGTTTGAAAAACGCGATTCCAAATTTTCAGGCATGCAGATTTTGCTGTTTTGTTGTTGTTGTTATTGTCATAAGTTGTCATAAGTGCCTAGACTGTATATTTTTTAAAAAATGAATTCGACAAATATGATGCCAAATTTACAAGCATGGTTTTGTAGACATTACTAAGTTTTAAATCCTGAATTTTTTCTAAGAAATCAAGTTTGACAAATATGATGCCAAATTTACTAGGATAATTTTGCATACATTCCTAAGTTTTAAATCTGAATTTTTTTTCTAAGAAATCAAATTTGACAAATATGATGCCAAATTTCTACTGTAAGCATGTCTATATATTTTATCACATACTATAATATAATCTTTGATAAAACCGGGTGCAACCCCCCCCCCCCTTTATTAACGCGTTTTGCCGCCTTAATCTGCATCGCGCACCAAGTATCTTGAGATGTAGCTCGTTAATATATACTTATAAGTAACAATTATTTCATAATTCACTTATTCACTTAATCATAAATATATTCCTATAGCCTAATCATCATCATGGATGATATGTACAATATGGGGCATCCACCCCTTATCAGCGCACCTCACCCTATCACGCACCGAAAATTCCGAATTGTGACTCATATTTTCATGCAGATAACGACATGCATAATAATATAAACACAACACGTAATCATAATAAACACACAACACACTTATATAATTAACCTGGTAGTGCATGCATGCTTTTCAAAAAAAATTTTAAGAAAATATATATCATGCATCGTGCAGTATTTATGCTAGTGGAATAATATTACATTATGCAGTTTATCCATTACAAAATTTCATGGCCTCGCCCTGACAGTAAAGGGCTTCTCCCACACATGCAGGGGGTGGGCTGGGGTTAGGGAGTCACAACACTTTACTGCCAGAGGAGCATTATATCTATATCTTCAGGTTTCCTAACACATGCAACCAAACCAGGTTTCGTTAAAACATGCACAAGTCCGAAATACGAAAATGTCGATAATTGTTTTACCATCAGGGTTACACAACTCTGACCTCACGACGTCTTCAGTCTTCTGGATGAGACACCGGACTCATCCTCCATTGCGGTGGCCGTAATAACAATCCACAATAATGATGTTTAGTAATCCACAATGATGTATAATATAATCCACAATGATATATAATAATCCACATGATAATATGATCCACAATATGTAATAATCCAAGGTGCAATAATCCAGTTACCCAACAGCACATCCAAGATAACAAAAATAAAAGTCCTATTGCGGAAACGTGTTGGTGATCGATCCTGCAGGGGTCAACTATGCGTTTTCACGCTTCAGTCCTAACCTAACTAGTTAACGAATTTATTCAAATTCACTCGTTATGTTGTGGCCTTAACTGGAACCCTAACAGAGCCTAGATCTTGTGGTCCTAAACGTTTGTTAAATAAGATGAGCAGGGCTTTCTCAACTCCTCTTGTAAACATGCTAATGCATGCACCGTGAAATACTTCATGCAACTCTCCTCACTTTGGTAGAAGAAAATTTGTTTCATTTATACAAGGTAGATATATTCTAGCTGCTTGATATATTCTAGGTGCTTGATATATACCAACTCCTGGTCTATATCATTTTCTCCAAATTTTATCCAACACCTCGAAATCATATAGTTGAATGAAATATCTCAGCATGCAAAAGCACGTCTACCTAAAGTCATGTGTCCTGATGACGACTATGCATGTGAAAAATTCGGGAAGTAAAACAAAAAGTGCAGACCACCACCACCTGACGTGGTAAGGGCCAGGTTGAAGCCTGATGAGCAGTGCGATCTAAAATAGAAAAAATAAGAATTATGAGTATTGAATCAAACTTTACATAGATGTCGGATGTATATGTAAAAAATTCTGGCTTAGACTAAACGCGACATTGCTTCTCATCTTAAAGATCAATTGTAGAACAAACTTTCACATTTATTAAATTAGAGCAGAAATCAAGTTCAATTTGAAGTCATTTTGATACATGTATGGGATAACAAGTTCTTTGACTTCGCTCATACGGAACTCGTGTCGTATGGTGAAATTTTACTTAAAAATCTCTATTAAAATCGCAGACAAAGTATAGTCAAAAACTTTTATAAAACCTAGCTGAGATAATGTTTAATGGGAAATTCGACAAAACATTATACCTGTTCAAGATCGACTTTAGAACAACAAAACCAGAAGACAATACGGAGCATCAAGAATTGCTGTGAATAAGTGCAATAGTCATAGCACTTTAGACTTGATTCATTTTAAATCCGCCTAGCTGATGTGGTAAGGCCAGGTTGAATTAGCCTGATGAACAGTGCGATCTGAAATAGAAAAAAAGCCATTAATCAAACTTTCAGTATAGATGGATATATGTAAAAATATTTTGTATGTAAAAAACTTTCTGCATGGCTTAGACTTGATGCGCGACATCAATTGCTTCTTATATTCGACATTGCTTCTTACATGCAGTAGGCCCGGCCTTCGACTTAATTCGTCTTGAACGAGTTCGTCATAGGGGACGGCAAAATTTATATATATTCACAACAAATAGAATTAAGTAAAGCGACAAAACACATGTATACCTGTTTGAGATGGACTTTAGGACAGAACCAGGGAGACATAGCTACATCAAGAACTGTTCAAAATAATTACAGATATACAATATAGCCACTTTAGTTTCACTTTCAAATATATCCACCTGGTGTACATGTGGTATAAAGTGCCAGGTTGAGGCCTGCATAATGACAGTGCGATCTGAAATAGAAAAATAAGAATAATGAGTATTGAAATCAGGCTTTATATAGATGCTGGATGTATGTAAAAATATTTTCAAAACTTTTCGCGACATTTATAGCCTATACTTATACAACAAACTTTCACATTGGTGAGAACCAAGTCAACTTACTTAATCCTATACAAATTGTCTACTTTATCGAGAATATGTGAAATCATACCGGCTTTAAGACGAAAGAACCATGCATAATTATCAATAATGTTGAAGATAGCACTACATGTACAACATTCAGTACAAACACAGAATATCACTCAAAATTGTAAACCATTTTAACAAGAATTAGTCTATAGGAACTCGAGTTAAAGCCATTAGAACAAATTAGAACAGAAATAAAGTTATATTTCAAGGTTAGATTTAAAGCTATTTTGATACGGGCTAGCAGGTTCTTCGACTTTAAAGCTATTTTATGACTTCGCTTAAAAAATCACAGACAAAGTATAGTCTGAAGTCTTTAAAAGCTAGCAGAGACAACGTTTAATGGCAAATTCGATGATTTTTGGTTGAAGCTGAGAACATACAGTCGGCCTTCGACTTCGTCTTGAACGAGCTTGCCACATACAGGACAGCAAAATTTAATCATATATTCACAACAAAAGAGTCAAGTAAAGCGACAAAACAAACAACTTTATACCTGTTTGATATCGACTTAGAAAAGCACCAGAACTCCAGAAGACATATAGGACATCACGATTTGCTGAGAATAAGTGCAGATAGTACTTCAGTTTCATAGTAAATCCACCAGAGTGAAATAATACCAGTATGATCCACTTCGCTTGCAACGACTCATTTGACAGAAGCGACTGAGTGAGCGATATTCCACCCAAAAAGCACGCGGTGGGCGTGTGACTCAATCTGGTTTCCTATTGGCTAACATATGAAGTTCACGAATCATGATTGGTCTAGAATATACAAAGCTATCATTGGTCGAAATTATGCAAAGCTTATTGGTGCATTCTTTGTGCGTCCTTGGGGAATTGCCGTTCTCATTAAAACAATAGCTAAATAATGCACTAATACAACTTGAATTTTTAATTAATTTGGAATAGGCAGTTAAAAGCAACGTGAAACATGATCATAAAAGTCAACAGTTAAGTTGATAGAACCACGGTTAATAGAATACGTGGTTTGGAGACTCGATGAAAGTACAATACAACTCTTAATTATGTAGGTTTCGGTTTATGAAAGAATTTGGGCCTATCTCGTCACAACCAATAGCAATGTTTAAATTGAGCATTTGTTCAAGTTACGGATGGATAACTCAACCACAAACTTGTTATTGGTTATTTGAGTGAAAATACAATAAACACGTGACGAGATAGGACCAAATTCTTGCATAAAGCTGGACAATAACATAGTTAATGAGTTATATTGTACTTTACGAGTCTCCAAACCATCTATTAAAATAACTGTGATAGAGCGCTGGATGTCCCAAAAAAACCGCAAAATCATTGAAATAATGTATTGTTAAAATTTGAATGCCCTGGCACTAAGCTGAACTGACAAGGGTGCATATATTAAATATTGACTTATTAAGAAATTAAAATATCTTTGTAAAGCGCACGATTTTCTGCTCTTGCGAATTTAAAACAGCTTCTTAAACGGTTTCTTTATGCATAAAATTTACTTACGTCAAGCTTTGATGCATATGTGGTTTCAGCAGAGTGCTCAGGCATTCAAATTCTAACAATACATTTATTTCAATAGTTTTCGTTTTTGGGGGGACACCCGGCCTGTACAGGCTGTCCCAAAAAAAACGAAAACTATTGAAATCACCAATAACAATTTAATTGTTAGAATTTGAATGCCTTAGCGCTCTGTTGATTCCCACGAGTGCATAAATGATTGACATAAGTAAATATTATGCATAAAGAAACTGTTTAAGAAGCTGTTTTTAATCCCCAGGAGCAGAAAATCGCGCACTTTACCAGGAGATATTGCTAAATAAATTCTAGTACATGCACCTTGTCAATATTTTACGCATCATTACATCCAGCTGTTTGGTAGGGCATTCAAATTTAACAATAAGTGATTTCAATAGTTTTCGTTTTTTTTGGGACACCCTGTACAGTATACAAGGTGTCCAAAAAAATCCGAAAACTATTGAAATCACTTATTGTTAAAATTGAATGCCCTATTGGTAAAATATTGACAAGGTGCAAATATTAAAATTTAGTTAAGAACATCCCCTTGTAAAGTGCGCGATTTTCTGCTCTTGGGAATTTAAAGCAGGTTCTTAAATAGTTTCTTTATGCATAAAATTTACTTAATGTCAATCATTTAATATGCACTCGTGGGAACCAACAGAGTGCTAAGGCATTCAAATTCTAACAATTAAATTGTTATTGGTGATTTCAATAGTCGACATTCTCCTGGTAATTTTACTGGTATCTTATAACAAATTGGCCTTTGTTCCATTACAAATTGCTAAATTCTAAACAATGAGTGACTGGATGGCATGCATGGAGAACGGTGGGATTTTCCAGACAACGAAAGGACAGGGAAGGATCCCAATCACTGGGTCGTGACTGCATGCCACTTATTCTTATATGCAAAGTGTTACAGCCATTGCTCAAATTACAGGCAAAACAATTCAGTTTTATTTTTTTACAATGAGTGGCAAACGTGTTCATATATTTACAACAATAGTGAGTTTGGGAACTTCAGCACAACAGCAATGGCAGAAAACAAAGTTACTTCCATTTTTTTGTATTTGAGCCAAAGCATACATTATTAAACTTTATTTGAGTCTTGATAAAACTTATCTTTATTTCGGAACAACCCTTAAGTAGCAATAGTTGGTGAAATTATACATAATTTCCATATAAATGATGGTCAATTATTCCACTTACTGTGAATACTATAATTACTTCTTTCTCATAAAAATTCTTTTGGGTCTAAAAAATTGGGTGTTTTGATGCATCATACTTTTGTCAGTAAAATTAAAAACCTATTCAGTTTTATCCGGCTATGCAGAGTTTTATTTGTATTGAGGAGGTGGGGATTTAATAAGAGACACAGAAGCTTAATGAATATGGTTACACTGAATTTTATCAGTAAGTAAATTTCATTTTTTACATCCTGAAACCAAAAATCACCATATTATGCATGATTACATATCACTTTCACGTCTCACAGAGTGAACATACCAAATTCAAACAACATTCACACTGTTTCTAGATGAAATAATCAACCGATTTTTTGGGCAAACAATATAATTCAAGAGGGAAAAAAATAAATATTTATATGTGTACACATAGTTTCAAGATCAGCTATTGAAACCAGCTTTCCCAGTTATGCTTGGAGCTGATGAGAACAGTTAGTTTTGAACACAGAATGGCATGGGACTTAATGCATCTAGGTGGCAATATATTGCCTTCTCACCAGCACAATTGATCAAGTTATACACATTCATTACTGCCAATCTCTTTATTATTTATGTCTCATTACAATTGGTATGTACAAATGCAATATATTTTCATTATCAGCAGTATCATTACAACTTGTGCATCACCAATATCATCACAACTTGTATTTCACTACCATCATCATCATTATTTTCACCATTCTAATTTTATTAGTCAATCAGAATGAATAAAAAATTTCCTATTTTAAACCACTCATATATTACTTAATTGCCCAAGGTCAGGGCCATTTCACATCACTCCAGGATCTGAATACCTGCAATCACCTTTTCGATATAATACTAAAAGAGAAACAAATGTCTTACTGGCACACTAGAATATCATAATTGCCATAAAATAACTGTCATTTGAAACCACATTCTGCTGTATTAGTAACAGCACAACTGCTCAAGGTTGCAAGGTAAATAATACTGTAGTAAGGCCAGTATTACTTGTAACTGTCTTTTTACATTTTGCTCACAACCAAAGTCCAATTATATGGAGCAAAAGTTAGAATATCCAGCCACTTTTTATTACTCAAGCAAAGACTTAAATACCTTGAAACCAGGAATGCAGATTAGCAAAGGTTGTAATAACCAACTTATTTGTGAATAGCATACTTGTCTTATTTCTTTCTTTTAATTTTTCTTAATATTGTATTAATCTATTATAAATCATTCCACAAATAGTAATCTGTAATGGTCCTAGTTTATCATAGTCTCTTCTATATATTGTTTGTAATGCTTTAGCAATACTGTAAATTTATGGTCATGCTAATAAAGCTATTAATTACCACTTAATCTTACACTTGACAAGTAAAATTGTCTGGTGTTGGACAGAAAAAAATAACAAAGTATGCCATATTTGATTATCCCATACTGTATTCCCATTACTGTAGTGTGACCACACAAGACTCTCCCTTGGATGGGTAAAATTGGGGGCTATGAAGATTTAATAATGGCAAGAGGTGGGGGAAACATTTTCTCCAGTAAAATTTATGGGGGCCATTGGAATTTTATGGGGGGCATTGGAATCATCAACCAGAGTATTGAGGCGATCAAGAAAAGAATACCTGAGGCCAAATTAAAAAAATAGCAGGTTTCAGGTTTCACAGCCATGTTTTATATGGGTAGGTAGGTCGGAAAAACATTTTATTTTTAAAAATATTTTATATCAAGTATGCAGGATAACCCGTGAGCTACATGTTTTTCGCGAGAAATAAACGCATCAAGGCGTTTGCGCCCTTTTTCAGCAGTAGCTGCCATTTCAGATACGTTTTTAATATTTTATTCAACTGTTCTTTGTGTAAAACTATGATTAACATGACTGTATGATTAAATTATAAGCAAACAAAATAATTTGTAGATAAACAAGTCTAATGACTATTTATATATTCGGCTATTTACGATCTCTACTGGGAAAAGCCAATAAAATGTTTATGGTCGGTCATATTTTTGACAGGTCGGTCGGAAACCTGAAACCAACAATTATTTTTATTTGGCCTGACTGTAAAATTAATGTAATCTAACTTTCTTGTCACACAAAGTTAGGTAACGTTGGCATTTTCACACTTTTCTATTATTATCGTACTATTCTGTTAAATATTTTTTGGATGAGTCAGAGACCAATGGATTGGTCTGAATTTTTGCATGTATTCATTTATTAACTTTTTACTAGTGTAATGGTCAGCCAGTTAAATAATTATTTTACTGAGGGTACTGCCTAACTATTTTACATGTCAAAGATAACTCCAGTTATGAAAGATTGAATATTTTCTGAGCAAGCTGGAACAGAAAGTGAAGGATGCAGAATTTTAGTGAAGGATGCAGATAACCAAAAAATATATCAGGCATGAAGGAGGGTTTATATCCAAAAGCGAAAGATGGAGGAGTAATTAAACGAAGAGAATTAATTATACAAACTGACAGCCACAAATCTGCTGGAATTTAGGATATATAAACTGATAAATATTAAAATATATGAGACTATAATTTTATATATGCATCATAAAATCGTTTACCTCGAATATACTGCATTCTTTATTTATAGCATTCAAAATCCATGTGACTTCAAAGTTTATAATTTCCATCAAAATAAAAACAAGCCTAAAATCTGCTGCCTGTTGTTTTAAAATATGAATTTTCAAACAATTGTGATACTAAGGCAAAATCATTTGTATTTGAAACTTTTTATAGTTCGTGCATTGCAATGTTCAGTTGTTCATCCCCCCGGGATAACATTACCTTAATAAGGCCAGGTTACAAAAATGTCCAACATTTTTGGACACACGTGACAAGTGTTTACCAGGGCCTTTTCTTCCCGTACCAGAGCCTCTGAACCGCACAAAGGCCCCTGGGTACGAGGTTGCGGTAGAACTATCGAACAATATTTTATATAGAACTATAGAACCATAGAACGGTAGAACTATAGAGCTGTAGAACTATAGAACTCTTTCACATACAGGAGACTGGTGACTTCTATAATTGGTGACTGCGTGACATGAAAATATAACAGACTGAAGGCACTGACACAAGCACTGATCTCAATCATGTGAACAATCCAGTGCAAAAAACTTGCTTTCTGTTTTTTTGACAAAACTCTTAATCAACTTCAAAATTCTAGCTGTCTTGTTATATCTTTCGATATCTTTCTGGTATGAACATATTTTATGTATTTTAGTTTTGGAGACTAGACCTCCGCCCCTATTTTGCTGCAAATACATGATTATAAACTCAGTTTCAGGTCAATTAAATTTCGATAAACTGAGTAAATATAATTTTAATTAATTTTGAAAGTTTGAGTTGGTTTTGTTATCACCGCACATTTTTTTCCACTGCATATTTTAATTGTTTATCACTGCACACTTTCCTTCCATCACTGACACCAAAATGAAAAATTGCATTTATTTTTCGCACATGGGGGAGGGAGGGGTTGAGGACATCTTTTCATCAACTACATTTACCTGGAATTCAGTTTATATACCCCTTTCCGTGGAAAATAGCTTTAATCGCAGACCATACTCTGGATTTTAATTTGGTCTCTAATCACCCCTACCACTGGATTTTCCAAGGCCTTTTTTAAACCCCTCCCCTAGATTTTCCATTGTCCTCAACTCCCCCGGTGCGGAATTTTAAATGCAATGCAAATTAGGTATGAATAAGTGCTATGACTTCTAACTATGTTTATACTTTACACCAGATAGGTGTATTTTAACATCTTAAGTTTGAACCTTATAAACCACAACGTGGGAGTATCATATTGTTGCAACAAAGTCAATTCAAACACTATACTTGCCTTCACATGCACTAAGTTTATGACGTGTAGCTGATGGATCTACATAGCTTCTAGATGCAATGTTCTTAATTAAATGTTACAGATGTTCACTATCCATTCCCATAAGCAGCCAGCCCCCCCCGCGCACCCAATACGTTGAGATTAATATGATTTATGGTGGTGTGGTTCCTGCATGCATGTATGCTCTACGTAGAAACTGAATGACTGTGATAAACAATTTATTGTTGAGACTGTTCAATGTTATATATAGTATGCTATGGACAGTATAATTCCCACCGGGCCCACGACGTTGTTTCAACGTTGAAATTTGGTAGAAAAAAGGTTGCGACGTCGACAACCTAATATCTACGTTGCTCTGACGTTGTTTTACAAACATTGGTTCAACAGCAGCCAACAGACGTTGAATTAACGTTCATTTATGGTTAAATGTACGACGTCGATTTGTAAACCAATCTCAACGTTGTTTTAACGTGGATTCAACGTTGAATTATGGTTGACAAGATTGGCAACCTAATTTCAACGTTGTTTCAACGTCGAAACAGTAACGTCGATCCAATTTGCATAGTCAACCCTTTTTCAACGTCTATCCAACGTCTGGAAGGTCATTTCCAACGTTGATTCAACGTTGGATAAACGTCATTTTGCCCGCTAGGAAGTATGTCAAAGTTAAGAGGGATTTTCCTTAATAAAATTTATGACTGAACTAATTCGCCTCGTATAACTGTTTTGAGCAATTATTATTGCCTTATAATTAACTAACTAATGGTTGACATGATTTGCCGTATAATGTATGAATTATTAATGAGTATTTTAAGAATATTTAAAACAACCTATTGTTATTGGCTATAACAACCTGTTAAACTACAATAACCTACTAGTGAATTCGCATGATCAAAGCAATTGGTTAAAATAACCTATTCATTTTAGTTGTACCCAAATGTTCAGAATTAACCAAAAAATAATTGGTTATTTTAATTTAACCTATTTAATTTGGTTATAAGTTATAACCTATTCAATTGGTTAAAACAACCTATTCATATAAGTGATAACCTTGACAAATAGGTTATTTTAATCTACCAGTTTTTACATTGTAGGCAACGAAGCAATGTCATGTGCCAAATAGAAGCGAGGTATTACTGCCTTACCTCTCTCTGGTGCGAAATCATGATAGGAAGTTGAAAAAGGTTTAACCGTAGTAGAGAAACGAACTCATCACCCACCAGCAACCGGGAAAAGATATTTCAGCCCAGAAAAGCTCGACAGCAATATACAATATATAACCACGAGGATGCTCTTTCTATTCAGATTGATCGCCGCTATTGTGAACTTGGTTTATATTATTGTGTTCACATTACATATATTTAACTTTTGGAAGGGGGACCAAATCCGCCAACGGGGGTCCGTATTTACTAGTAGATTTGGACCCCCGGCGTGTCCATATCCACTAGTAGATTTGGACCAAATCTACGGGGGACCAAATCAACTGGGACACCGGCAATATTTTGCAGGGGAAATTCACTGAGCGTCAACATAGATTAAAATCTGTACTAACTAACGATGGCTATAAAAAAGTCGAACAAATGTTTACTATAGCATGCCTTTCATGTGCCTTGTAAAGCTCAAAGCAGCTGAAATCGAACGCCTCGTTGATAGTTCTTCATTATAATTATATTCACATTAGATATTCATACAACAAGTGTTACGCGTTACAGTGCGGGCGCACTTATTTTAATTCCCAGACCCCAGTTACCTTCCTTATATTCTGCAATAAAATACATTTATTCCCATTTTACCTTTGGCGCTTGAACTTATTCTCGTACCCAGAGCCCTTTTTACCCTCGGTGCGGCGAGGGGCTCTGGCCATATCCAAAACCGGATACCATAAAAACATGGTAAAAGAATATATCCGGTATTAGAACAATAACTTTCGTTGTAGCCAATCAGATGCCAGTTTGATATGGATTTGGCCAGAGCCCCTCGTTGCACCGCGCGTAAGAAGGGCCCTGGGTACGAGAATGGCTTGAACTGTACATTTGACTATTGGTTGTGACCGAACATTAATTGAAGTACAGCAGCTGTATATTATGCCGACAAATTTAAATTAGCTGTATCTATGAGAAGTATTATAAAAGATGTAATATTTAACTAAATAAGTATCTTAGTAGTCATTTTGAATTTTCTTTTCAATGCCACCATGAAAAATGGCGTGAAATCTCGTTGCGTAATATATTATAAGCACTTTAAATGGTTGTCATGAACATTTATACCGAAAATCAAGGCATTGAAAAAATACTTGTATCTGCAGCAAAACAAATTAATTTATTACTAATAATTTATTCCAAAAGAGAAGGTGGTGCAATTCGGTCGTCTTGATAGCTTTAACTTTAATTAATGGTTTAAATTTTCCAAAACCTTCATGAGTAGGACCAGCGCGACAAAAAGTCATTAATACACTTAATTTCAGCAATTCATTTATTCAAAAAAATATGGATTATGCTTTATGACCCTGAGTAAATGTATATTACCTGCAAGCAGCTTTAATGATTAGCATAATAATACGTACTGCCATTATATATCACATTAATATACAGTATACATGCAGATGAGTAACAATAGACAATCAAGTACACGCAAGCATTGTGAAAAAGACGCCTTCGCATAGCTTATATTACTTTGCCTCGGCTGCATTATTCTTGCGTTTAGAGTCGGCGTTTTCCATTTTAAAAAAGCGTCATTTCAGTCAACAATGCAGATGATATACGTTGTCTTTGCTATCATTGCCTCAGCTTTATTCCACAAAAGTCAATGTTATCCTTCCGGAGCACCGACTTCTCAATGTGAAAGCATGACACCAAGTCATGGGGCTGTTGCCCAAGCAGGAGCAAGTCCGTACAAAGTTAAGGTGAACAGACCGTATTATATGCCAGGAGAAAATATCAGAGTTTCCATCGAAAGTTCGGATGATAATATCAAAGGCTATCTGATACAAGCAAGACAAATAGGAGGAAACTCAGCGTTGGGAATGTTTGCAGCGACTCCTGTAAATGTGAAGCACTTAAATTGTGGCAATAACAAGGTAAAAATTAAATTATATTCTCAATTAAAGTAGAAACAAAAGTCTATATGGGATTGGAAACGTTAACAGTATGATGTTAAGCCTTAACAAAAGAAAATAATATTGATAAGAATATTTTATTAGCAACTTTTTAAAACATATTAATTTTCAATTCAGCCATCGCAATATCAGTACTTAATCAATACTTAGCTTATGATAAGCCATGCAGTATCCAGTAGATTATTTTGTTTGGTAACATTTTTGTTCACATAGTTAACTTAACTTTCTTCTTTTTTGAAATATGAAGAAAATTTGGCTTTCGCGCATCACACAAGTCACGAAATCCGACAATATATGTTTTTTATTATTATTATTATTAATGGTTTAAGATACACACCTTCGCAATAGATTGAATTATGGTGCGTTTACAAAATTGGTACGCTATATATTTACATATATAAAAATTTAGTTGCATGCATCAAGTCTAAAAATCTTATTGAATTGCATTAAAATCATCGTAATTAAGTATCACGCTTAAGTTTCTTTACTATAACTATTATATAGAGCTACTGTACTGGGAAAAAAGCTACGGCGATATCTTTCTGTTCGGCATTTTATTGTTGTTAATGTGTTAGAGTTTCTAAGTTCATAATCATTTGAACTAGCCCTAGACAGTGGAACATATTTTGACAGTGGTCCTTCAATTTCTATGCGTTTCATAGTATTGAGGCAATGTCGTTCTCGCCTTTCATCCAATCTGGAACACCCAAGTTGTGCTAATGCTTCCCTATAAGAGTAACCCGGTAAAATGATCCTCAGCGCTCGTTTTTGCACTCGCTCTAAATCATCGGCGAGGTACAAAGGTAGGGCATGATGCCATACCACACAACAGTACTCCAGAACCGATCGTATTAAGGCAAAGTATATACTCAATAAGTCTTCCGCAGGGACACCACCTCGTCGTAATATGCGGATGATATATAAACGTTTAGAAGCCTTGGATACAACTGATTCTATGTGTGCATTCCATTTAAGATCGTTTTGGATAACCAGACCTAGGACTTTATGAGACCGCACAACCTCAAGCGCATGACCGTCGATCAACAATGGTGATAGATCAGGTGATTCCCTCAGAAAGCAAACGCGTAGTTCTTTGCACTTTTTGGAGTTAAGTTTCATAAGGTTGCACGAAGCCCAAGAATTTATAGTATCAATACAGAACTGAAACTTTGAGTTGCTGCCCTTTGTGATATTTTCAGATGTTGATATGTCATCCACAAATTTCCAAATATCCGTTGCGTGTGGTTTCACATCGAGATCATTTATCATCGCCAAAAACAGAATTGGGCCGAGTTTAGTTCCCTGGGGGACACCCGCATTCATTGGCAACCAGTCTGACGTTTTTCCTCCAAGTTTGACCCGATGACGGCGGTTAGTTAGGAAGTTGATAATCCAAGGCAACAGGGACGATCTAACACCTAGGTCCAACAGCTTTAATATTAGTAAATTATGTCCTATACGGTCAAACGCCTTTTCGAAGTCAAGGAAACAAAGTCTAAGATGTTTTCAGGACACTCTAAGTTGTACAACCAAGTGTGGATCATGTCTAAAAGACAATAGGTTGTGGATGTTCCTTTCAAGCATCCAAACTGCTTGGGGTCGATCTTGTCTTTAATATCGGTTATCATCCACCCGACCACGAAATCTTCAAGAACCTTAGCCAGGCAGGGTGTCAGTGAGATGGGTCTGGTGTCACCTTCACAGGTAGGAGGTTGTGATTTTGGAACTGGTATGATGTCTGAGTCTTTCCATATTGCAGGCACGATTCCAGATGAAAGTGATTCGTTGAAAATAGTTGCAACAGGTTCGGCTAATTCATGGGCATACTCTTTCAGGATACGACAGGGGACGTTATCTGGGCCGTGAGCTTTAAAAGGTTTAATTTCTAAGAGCTTTTTACATACTTCATGCGGTTGAACTGTTGGAGCAGGTTCTTTGGCCGGAAGAAATGCCGGGAGTGTCGCTAAATTAAGTGGTGGAATGTCACTATTCACCGATGCATAGAACACATTCAAAGCTCTAACTAATTCTGATTGATCCAGAGTTCTTCCATCATGTTCAAGCGAGAAGGAGTTCTTTCCAGATTTTCCTGCCATTTTATTTACGATTTTCCACCACATACGGCAGTCATCCTTCTTTAAATGTTGTACCTTTGTTTTGTAGTACGATATTTTCCTCGCATTGATTTCATGTTGGACCTT